GAATTAACACAATTACACAGTCGAAATGATATTTAATCGAGCGTATAAAGTATAAAGGTTTATACGATAAGCATTTATAATCTCAGTCATATCATATTCCTAGAACATACCATCATGCTTTTTATGGGTATGGATAGGCAGAGGTGCATATTATGGCACTTAATGCCCCTGTACAATGTAACACCCCCTTTTCACTATTTATTTTATGATTTCCAAGTAATAGGGGGTGAGTCTATTGCCATATACCGGGCACAATTCCAGAATCCGTGCTACCACTGAGATTTTTTTTTAAAAACCCATTAATACTTTGCTGACCAGGAAATCGAACCTGAGACCCCTTGACTGGTAGTCGCACTTGCGACCACTCGGCCAACGAGTCATCATATTCGTGCCTATATCTTCGGGGATAAAAAGCGTCATGTTATGTAGATGACATAAATTAATATCAGACGTGGCAAATGCCATGACACTCCCACTCCCCACTGTGCGATGTAAGTGACAGGTCTAAATTATGCCATATCTTCAAAGACATTAGGCTATTATGACGTCATACACAATGACTACTGGACACTAGCCTACCGTTCACATGATTGTATCGTAAATGAATACTGCAAATTTTCATTGTAAAGGCCTCAACGGACAAAAGTTAAGTGTTTTCAAGGACTAATATTAGTAGGAGGAGCCACGGTCATTATCGTGTGCTTGTACTTATTGTTCACTTTTTGTTCTTTTATGAGGTGGAGACTTGGAGGTTTTTAATACAGCCATTTAGGTCTGACCCAGACTCCAGAAGTGATCCGACAGAGGGACTATCAATGTGTTCCGACAGAGAAAAAGAATTATCGACAAAGCCGAAATAATTAGTAAGCTGAAGTGGCAGTAGGCCGATCACTCTTGTCGAAGAACAACCGTTAGTTAGGAGATCGCGTCCAGACAAACGTAGTGTAGGGCACCCTCCAGCTAGGTGGAGTGACAACATCCGCAAGATGATAAGACCTGAAGACTGACCTCAGTGGCGTGCCATTGGAAAGGCCTATGATGATAATGCAAACTCTAGCTCCTCACATTGCTATAAAAGTAAGAAAGTTTATAGCAATGTGGATTAGTGGCAAACAAATACCGCTGAAGTTTGCTTTGCGTACCAAAAGACTGCAACTAATAGTCCCTTCGAATTTACATTTTGTCTAGAGACGTTGTTCGAGAAACAGATCAGAATGCACAAAATATACGGGTCGTTCGCATTATTTGACGTATCGGTCATGTCCGTTGTGTCTGTCGCATTTGTTGTCGGTCGTATCGGTCGTGTTTATCGTATTTATCACGTCGGTTGTATTTGTCGTGTCCGTCGTATTTGTCGTGGTCTCGGTCGTATCTGTCGTGCCGGTCTCATTAGTCGTGTCGGTCGTATTTGTCGTGTTTGTCGTATTTGTCGTGTCGGTCGTATCGGTCGTGTTGGTCGTATTTGTCGTGTTTGTCATATTTGTCGTGTCGGTCGCATTTGTCGTGTCGGTCGTATTTGTCGTATTTTTCGTATCGGCCGTGTTTGTCGTTTCTGTCGTGTCGGTCGTATCTGTCGTGTCGGTGGCATTTGTCGTGTCGGTCGTATTTGTCGTATCGGTTGCGTTTGTCGTATCTGTCGTGTCGGTCGCATTTGTCGTGTCGGTCGTGTCGGTCGCATTTGTCGTGTCGGTCGTAAGTGTTGTATTTGTCGTATCGGTCGTGTTTGTCGTATTTGTCGTGTCGGTCGTAAGTGTCGTATTTGTCGTATCGGTCGTGTCGGTCGCATTTGTAGTGTCGGTCGTATTTGTCGTGTCGGCCGTATCTGTCGCGTCGGTCGCATTTTTCGTGTCGGTCGTATTTGTGGTGTCGGATGCATTTGTCGTGTCGGTCGTATTTGTCGTGTTTGTCGTATTTGTCGTGTCGGTCGTATCGGTCGTGTTGGTCGTATTTGTCGTGTTTGTCATATTTGTCGTGTCGGTCGCATTTGTCGTGTCGGTCGTATTTGTCGTATTTTTCGTATCGGCCGTGTTTGTCGTTTCTGTCGTGTCGGTCGTATCTGTCGTGTCGGTGGCATTTGTCGTGTCGGTCGTATTTGTCGTATCGGTTGCGTTTGTCGTATCTGTCGTGTCGGTCGCATTTGTCGTGTCGGTCGTGTCGGTCGCATTTGTCGTGTCGGTCGTAAGTGTTGTATTTGTCGTATCGGTCGTGTTTGTCGTATTTGTCGTGTCGGTCGTAAGTGTCGTATTTGTCGTATCGGTCGTGTCGGTCGCATTTGTAGTGTCGGTCGTATTTGTCGTGTCGGCCGTATCTGTCGCGTCGGTCGCATTTTTCGTGTCGGTCATATTTGTGGTGTCGGATGCATTTGTCGTGTCGGTCGTATCTGTCGTGTCGGTCGCATTTGTCGTGTCAGTCGTGTCTGTCATGTCGGACGTATTTGTCGTGTTTGTCGTATTTGTGGTGTCGGTCGTATCTATCGTGTTGGTCGCATTTGTCGTATTTGTCGTGTCGGTCGTGTCTGTCGTGTCGGACGTATTTGTCGTATTTGTCGTGTCGGTCGTATTTGTCGTGTCGGTACACATACGTGTAATCCGCATATGCCAAATTTTAATTTTATGGGTTCTAGGTGAAATGTTCAGTCCAGATAAAAAAGAGATAGATAATGAAAATATTACCGAAATATAATTAAAATAGTGCAGTACTAAATAAATAATTGAGCTGCAAACTGATAGATTCATCGATTAGCGTGTATTTTAAATCGTATGCTACTAAACTCTCATATATATACAACTTCAGTTTGAGAATGTCTGTGGAGAAATATGCGGACTGAAACTGCTAGGCTGTTTTTTTTTTCACGATTAATGTGGAGATAAATATTTACACAATTCTTATAACATTATACTTTTCACCAGTCACTCCAGTCGTCCGTATCACATGTAAGAGTTCTGTGTCGTGGGTGCATTCACAAAAACATGTTGGTTTTCAGTGAAGAAATAAAATGGAAATACCCTACTGCTAGTTGACTATCCACTAGGCTAACGGTGCAGTAAAAATGTAGTTATAATAGTTCCATTTAATAAAATCAAGACGAAAGGATCAAAGAGTACGGTCAAATATCTTGTGCAACTGCACTTTCAACAATCAAATAACAAGAAATTCTATAAAAAGTTTAGAAAGATAATGTAAGCCAATAAAAATAGAGGTACATAGATAGATAATTTTGCCTTTAATATGCATAGTGTTTTCAGAAAAAATCTGCCGTGAGATTATCACATAAATTAATCACAAGTCATAGAGCTGTTATAATGCGACGGGAAATTGTATATCTTTAAGTATTGAATCAAAGAAGTGAATACATAGACATGCCTAAATAATAGAGTGTGCGTACCTAAGTGAGTATCAATCTATACTAATATTATAAAGAGGAAAGATTTGTATTTTTGTATTTTTGTATGTTTGTAATGAATAAACTCAAAAACTACTGAACCGATTGCAATAATTTTTTCACCATTCGAAAGCTGCATTATTCAGAAGTAACATAGGCTATATAATATCACGCTAGGTCCTATAGTTGTGGAGCAGTAACCAAAAATGTTTTAAAAACGGGGGAAAAGTATCGTTTCTGAGGCCTTCCGTGGCGTGCGCTGAGCATATAGTTAAAGTTATACAAAAATGTTCTATAGATGAATTGTTTATCTTAACATTATTTTTAAAAAAGTCCGCGAGAGCATATGTCTACCTTTTATAGTTTACCCATAACAATCGTTTTAATGAATGGTTCAATCCTTATAAAAGTTTGCTCTAGATAACTTTTGAATTGTTCAATCGGTTACCTTAAGACGCGACATCGACAACGGAGGGCAGGTCGCTAAAAAAAAACAGAATAAATATGAATAAAACGTAAAACTATGTAAAAAATCTTAAGTCCCCCCGTGCGAAGCCGGGACGGGCCGCTAGTAGTTTATAATTATCATCCTTTTAAATGGGTAGACAGGGTATGAAAATAAAAATCTAATTAGTCTGTTAGTTAGATAATCAAAAATATACTATAATAGATCAAAGGCGTCGTCCTACTGTATATTTTTTATACTGTGGTTCTGTCTTATGATTTAGTTTGGCAATACAATAAAATTACCGGGTAGGGACCGCGATTCTGCTTACATACCCAGTATGCGTACTGGTAAGCTCATACTAGGTTTTAATACCTGTACCAGTAAATACGTATCATCCCTTAAGTAGAAGTATTTACTTCTGAGTTTGAATAGTACCAATCGTTACAGTAAGTGTAGCCAATTCGTTAAGTCGTGGCCACGAACAGACGATTCGCTACCATACGAGACTGTTCGACGCACCGCTCTTTAAAATTTTGTCGCTTTTGTATATTGCTTTGATATTTTCCTTGAAAATGCATCAAAGAAAAAACAACAAGCTTTTTATATATGCTCCGGGTAATTCTACCGCTAATATAGAATATAGGGAAGCATTAACGTAATCAACTATACCAATATTACCAAATAAAAATAAAATACAGTCAAGATATTTATTGGCATAAAAAATACTATATCACCTTCTTGAGTGGAGTTTATATGTATATAGCCTACTATTATCTAAACGATGTTGTTTTGTTTTCGACAACCACGCGACCGAAGTCACGGGCACAGCTAGTATAAAAATATTTCTTTATTAGTTCAGCATTACAAACACACAACTTTCTTACGTTCTATTCATATCTTTAGTATTGATAAATATATTATTATCCATTCCATTATAATTACATAATATCAACACTATACATAGTACTAAACTATGATATTTACTTGTACTATGACAATTGTAAATTTAAACAAAGCAATATGTAATAAAATGTATACAATTATTTATTTTAACTATTATTATAATAAATATTCGTTTAAAACAAAATGTAAACGATTCAACAGTCAAACTATTTGTGTATAGGTAGTTTTGTTGGACTTGGCGTTAGGTTGTAAGGCATACCATGTACCGTTTATTATTAAATAAATAATAATAAATTAGGTTTCATATAAAACGTATACTTATTTACGTATTCTAAAATAGCACAAACATAAAGATGGCAATGTTCACACATTATTATACAACTTAGTGTCAAAATCTGTACAAATAAATAAAAAATGTATACATTTGAAAATAAAAAAATCAAATTTGATAGTTCTAGATGACATTTTCATTTAGTTTCTTAGTTATTTAACACTAATTATTACATTCTAAAAATTGCCTTATACGTCTTGCCATAAGGTTAGATTAATAGCTGGCAGCGTATCACATGGTACAAGTTCGTTCCTGGAAAAAATACACCGTAATGAGTATAAATCCAAGATTACTTTTTTTATACAGGTGGATCCACTAACATAGTGACGATCTTGTAAACAAATAATGGGAATAATCCTCATTAAAGGCTCCAAGTTACTTAAAATATTATTCACACGCTGTAACTACAACGATGTACGCACAATATAGTCACTACATTAAGATCGTCACAACAACTCTAAACTCCCCGAAATGGACATCAATAGGAACATATTCCATATCTATGGGTTAAGGTACTTAAGGAAGCCACGATACAAAAAAATATACAGCAGTAGTTTTCTACGACATTTTTCCACAATTTAATTTCAATGACCACAAAAACACACAATATGCTATTAAAATGTGTGCATCACTTTTAAAATAAAAGAAACTTACAACTTTGCATAATATTTCTAAGGACAGTACCATAACACCGTTTTATATTGGCTCTACAAGTACATTTATTTTAATATTTGGTCATATAAGAATCTGCGGTAAAACTAAGTCAAGTGCCATACTTCGGCACGAATGGACCGGCTCGACCGGAGTTATACCACGACCTCACAGAAAACCGACGTGAAGCAACGCTTGCGTTGTGTTTCGTTTACCCTCCCCCCTCCCTTCCCCAAACTCCCCAATCCGTGAATCCCCAACGATCCTAAAACTCCTAATCCCCAAAAGGCCGGTAACGCACTTGTAACGCCTCTGGTGTTCCAGGTGTCCATGGGCGACGCCGATTGCTTACCATCAGGTGATCTGACTACTCGTTTACCGGCTTATGCCACAAAAAAAAATATTTTGGACAGATGCCCCTTTTACCGCAGAATCCTTAGCAAACTTCTGAATTCTTTACACTGCGACATAGTCGTAAAAGTCGGGACTGTAAGTAATAGCCATACTTACGTGTGCGATATCTGTTCAAAGGCTCTGGGCTGCATAGACTGTATTCCGTCACTGTTATCACACAGCAGCCGCGCCATTGATGCTCCCTTGCGTATCGAGTCGAGCTGGCCTGTTTAATAAAGCATTATATTTATCAAAGGAACCTTGTAGTTTTCCGTCATTTATCGCATTATGGAGAGACCCTGTAGTTTGAGTAACGTACAAAAAGGTATCCTAATATAATTCAGTTTGATCCTTTTCGGTGCTAAATAAACTTTCACTAACATATTTTTTTACGCATAGTTCTTGAAATCACCTGCTTGTATCATTCATTAACACACATTGGGACAGTTATTCGTCTGTCGAAAATAAGTACACAATATAACCAAAAAGTGATCATATCTTTAGACACACACAACAATATCTTTGGGTATGTCAACATAAACCCCTATGATATTTCCTGTATGACACAATCAAGAAATGGTTAGCCATATGTGACGTGCTATTTGTTCTCTAATGCACAGGACATATCTACGGTTAACAAGATTTGTTGAATAAAATAATTAAGTAACGCCATGTGAAGTGCAAGACTTGTTTTGATAATACCGGCACACTCGCACGTGGCCACGAATCTTGTGAATCATTGCCTATTTTATGCCTATTGTATCCTTTAGTAAACCCAACGCACCTACATTGGTAAAAAATAGGACGAGGACACATCTTTTTGATGCTAATAAAATAATTGTATTATAACTCACTTGGTGTAAAAGCAATGTCAGGATCAGCTCCATTTTCATAGAAGTATCTGTCTCCAACACGTGTCCTGTAGAACTGCTCCGTGATGATGAAGACGAAGGTCGGTCCAGCTTGAGCTCCTGGCGCGTTGCGCTCCAAAGAACCAGCAACCATCAGTTCTACGTCTTCGACAGATGCGTAATGGTTTTGGAGAGCAGCCACGTTCTATTGGGAAAACAGGAAAATGGTTGACAGTAGGTGATACATTTGTATTATTTTTTTTAGGAAGTTGGGACAGTTAGTGCTTTTATTAAATACTTTGCTCCATGTGTTCATAAGTCTTATCATATGCCAAGGTACATTTTCAAAATTGATGCTGCAGAATCAGTGAAATCGAAAAATCCAACACTATGTTCCTCAACCAAGGAATCAGATCCAGTTCAAGAATCGACACAGTTACAGTTGATGTTTACATTAATACAACTATTTTGAATTCATATAAAGCTATTGATATCTCTAATTCCTCTTATTCTAAACTTAATATTACCTCATATGAGACTAATACCGCAGTAACTTACTATAGGGTACTAAAAATAACACAATTTACTATCGATTGCGAAAATCAAAGAGGCGTATTGTTTACCTACTAAAATTGTGGTTACACCCACAATGAACCATTTTACTACGAATACCTAATTATAGTAAACAACATTTAGGCTAATAATTCATTAGTACAAATTTCTGTTCAAATTTCAGTTAGTATCATGTGTTGAAATTATTAAAGCTAAACCTGAGTGTGGATAATAATTATCAAAACAGGTTTTGCTATTAACTCTCTATTTTATTTTGCGTTATGAAATATAAGAGTGTGTGTTCTATTCGTGTGACAATTAATATTGATTTTAGTCCCAATTTCCACCTCTACCTGTGTGTAGTCGTTGTCCTAAACTTTTATAATTCATTAGTTACGTCATGTTACTTTTCTTCCATAGGAAAAACAAATGTTATACACAGTAACTAAAACCAAATACCCAAAACAAATACATGAACAAAGCGAAATCCCAATGATTACATCGGATTTCTCCTCTAAAGATCTTAACAACGTGATCAAAGTAGGTACTGCCTAGTGGTTGCCATCGAACATTTCTATTTAATAGGTTTCCGTCAAAACCATCAAGTCGGGCCTTAATTGTTATCAGCCACAGTAAACTGGATTTATAATAGAAGATAACACTTAACGAGTTCACGACGTTAATCTTTGTGACGCCAACGGGCGATGGGATTATAATAGATCAGGTAGTGCTAACAACTAAGAGCGCAAACCATCCACTAAATTATAAATTGAAAGTTGTCAGAAATTTTGAATTGTTTATTTTAGAGAATGATAATGCTCTTATGAGCGAATTTATTAAAAATGCTTAGGTACGTTTACCGACATTTTTAAAATGATATCGTCTGTGATAGGGAGGGGTGTACATACGTACACCCCTCCCTTATTCATGTATATTAGTGGGCCACATTGCCGGCTAGCAAGACAGTCGAAACATATATGTATATTTCCAATTACAGTAAAATTTGTGTAATACAAAATAGTTAAGTAATATCCACGTAAAAGTACGTAATTACCTCTATAGTAGTTAATCATTCTCGGCAACCTATTATCACATGATTGAATCTCCCTGAAGTTCTTGTCTCGTTAATTTTTGAATTGAGTGGCCCCAAAAATAGTCCTCAAGTAAATAATTCCTTCATCTACATTCCTGTTTACGAATCCACACAAATAAAAAAGTGTCAGACCTCTTAAGCGAAGACTTTTCCACGAGTAGGCAAGGTAAATGTAAAGGGACTCAGGTGTTATGCATAAATAAACGCTCTTATTTTTGTTGTAGAGAAATAGACATAGAAATAGTCTACTTAGTACACTGGCGTCAAGTTTTTGAAATACAGACTAAGCATGAGTGCTTGGTTTCATTCATGAGTCTGGCATATATATATATATATATCGAAATTCACAAAATTATTTCTTATAAATTATTGTATATTCATAGCTTATTCTCTGTTAGTAGTATTACACAAGATTCAAATGTACTACATGTAGTACTTATATACAATTATTCTAAGCTTAATACTCAACTACTCAGACACTCATTTTTATTCAACATCTGTTGCTTACGACTTCTCTGAATAAAATAAACCATACTATTTTACTATCTTTGTTTACCGTATTTTCAATAAAGTTATCTTTCTAGGTACTTATTTAAGAGAACTCACAGATGCCTAACTCAAAATTTATTGTGATAATTCGTAATTTATTGTTGTTAGTTCTTTTTATTTGTCTAGATATGAGAACCTAGGACACTGTTTGATAAAAGTTGATACAAAGTTTTGGGTACCGTCTGGAATCACGTACCTTCGTACATGTTTTGTTCCACATGTTGTGAACAGATTCATACTCGTAATAAATTGGAATAATTACCTAAACATGCTACGTGTTTGCATGAAACTTCATAACTTTCATTTGGGTCTAATATAATAGCTTGTTTGGTACGATTTTTTTAAGGGGGGAAAATCATCGAATGACTGCTCCCGCCTGAGTGAGGCGGAAGGGAGTGTCAGACTCTTACTGACTAAAAACCACCCCGTTCCTTCTCCTGCACTTCGAGCTGGAGCCCCGGCAACCCGTTAGGCTCTCCGCGACTCTTTGGTACGATTAGATACATAAAAGTAGATAGTAATTATCGTGTAACATGTAAGCATTTTCTAACTGATTTTGGTTACGGCGACATCTTAGCAGGGACTACGCGGAGGTTACGTTGTACACTCTATTCTTTTACTTTGATTTTAGCAAAACCCGATAAACTGACAATCCTATCAACATTATAATAAAGGCAAAAATACACTTTTCTTAGCAAAATATTGATATAAATATTAATACATCTGGTTTAGTCCACTAACGTATATTCTGAATTTGGCCCTAGTGGCAACTATATATTTGATAAACGATCATTCGGTCATACCTCTCATCATAACTGTACATACCTCTTGAGATATGTATTCCAACATGTCAGAGAAGTTTTTAGGGGCAGGAAGACCCAAAGCAGTTCTAGTATTGATGTACGAAGCCAAACCGTGGTCACGACCTCTTTGGATGTCTCTCGCTCGCAGGTCACTTCCATAAGTATAGTTACGCCTGTTAGAAATAAACACATATTTAGTTATATCGATGTTAAGGTTAACCCTGATATGACAAAAACTTTTTGAATTTTTCAATATTATTGATGAAACGAACTAGAGTGAATACATGAGTTTGTAAGGTGGTTCTTATATTTTAGGGAGGAATGGATGGTTGTTACTTAACCCCTCGAGCGTCCTTATGAGCACCCGGTAGATCATAAGAAAAAATGCTCCATGCTGCTTTCTCTTTTATAAAATCTATTATTCATGTTTTGTTTTTATTTTGACTGTATTTTTTATTTCTATTGTAATGATCCTTGTTTTCGTGTGCCAATGGCCAAATAAATGCATTTTCTTTCTTAATTTCTCTAAATGTCACGTGTGCACCCGTTGGATCGTAAGGAACGCGGACGCTCGACGGGTTAATATATCGAAATGGCTAAACTAATCTTGACGAATCGTAATAATTCATATAAAAATACAGATTTAAATTACAGTCTCAATATATATTATCTAATTTATATCTCTATCTGTATATATAAACTACTATTTTATTAGTCTTTTTCCGAATAGCATACAGACAAAACCACTGACTGAAGCTAGTTTTTCAATATAATTTAATTAACGACCTTTAATGTTTATATTCATTCTTAGTGATCCTTAAAATGCGATGGAAAGGCAAACTTTGGTCTGTGGAAACGAATAGGCGCATTTACCTTATATTATTTCAATCTGTCTGAAGTCTGGAAATGTGCCCGGTATATTGCAATAAGCTCACCTATTACATAGGACTCATAACATAAATAGTGGAAAGTGGGTGTTACATTGTACAGCATTAAGTGCCGTAATGTGAACCTCTGCCTATCCCTTCGGGGATAAAAGGCGTGATGTTATGTGTGTTATTTTTAAGCTGCTGAATCAAAAAACTTAATAGTATTTTTCCAATCCAGTGAACCATAATAATACCAAAATACGATAAATTAAAAATGCAAACATTAATAAAAAGTGAACTGTTTTATAACTCCTTATTCGATAAAATGCGAAAATTTTAATTAATTCGTGAGTGTTTAACGCAAACATGGTTTAAAATCGCTTGGGGTGGGAACAATGTTGTGATTGACCATTCATTTGTTATCACAACATGTATCTACGTGAGCAATAATAATTGCCTAACAACGTTTGATCCCTTATTCCATATTCCATGTTTTGAATCTCCGAAAAGGTAAGCTGTGTTTGTTTTCCCATTAAAAATGTAAAACCCTAGTTTTCATCAGTTTGGTTGTAAATTTCATGTAATAGAAAACAAACCTATTGCTGTAAACCATAACTACAGAATTTTTGAAATAAATTACAACACGTCTGCAATTCTTTGATTTTACAAAAGTTTGATTGCGATCCAAAAATTAAACCCGTCACTTTCTTATGGTATTCCTTATAACATCAAACACTAAGTATTTAATCCTATACAAACTTGTTCCTTTTTGTATTTAATTGACGAAACCAACCAACATCAAATTGAGTCTACAGTGAAAGTATTTCCTGGAATTGTGACGTCAAAATCATAATCATAGGAACTTTGAAGTTATTTTGTTGTAAATAAAAATGAATACCTTTTAGAAACTGTTTTATTAGAAAATAACTTTTATGTTAACAGTGATGTCAACAGTCAACAGACCCTTCGAGAACAGAACAGAAAAAATTCAAATCATTCTTTTTAATAGACTTATGACAACAGCGTTGCCAACTTACTAAAATGCATTTACATTGCACCAACATTTCAACACCCCTTCTCAATGTAAATACATTTAAAAAAAATATACTAACTTATACACCTAATACACATCAACAGCTGTGTTCACAATACAACATTTCTTTAAATGTCTGGCAATTAATTCTTTACTCAAGGGTTTTGTTAAAATATCAGCTGGTTGTTCACTAGTAGGAATATAATGAATACAAATCTGTTTACTTTTAATCAAATCCTTAACAAAATGGTAGCGAATGTCTACATGTTTCAATCTTTTAACACTATCTGTTTTTGCATTAACAATGGCTGACTGATTATCAGAATATATATTTATTGGAGACACAATTTCAATATCAATTTAATAAGCCAAATGGCCTCGCTTGCAGCCATACTCATTGAAACATACTCTGCTTCTGTGGAGGAAAGACTTACAGAAGTTTGTTTTCGTGATTTCCATAACACTAAACAATTAAAAATTAAGAACAAGTATCCTGAAGTGGACTTTCTGTCCTTTAAGTCCCCACCCCAGTCTGCATCACAATAACCTTCCAAACCCCCTTCACACTTATAAATTAGTTTGTAATTTAAGCTATATTTTACATATCTTAATACTCTTTTTAATGCACTTAACAGTTCAGTATTTGCACTGACTTGATATCTGCTAAGCAAAGAGATAGGAAAAGACAAATCAGGTCTAGTGCCCATTGCAGCATACATTAAACAGCCAATGATTTGTCGACACAACTTTTCTATTTGCTTATCTATAGGTTTGTTACAGTTTTCAAATATTCTAGTATTAATATTAGGATCCATAGGAGTTAACATATCTTTACAACTTTCCATGTTAAACCTTTTGAGAATACTTTGTAAGTAACTACTTTGATCAAGTTCAGTAACACCAGTTTCAATATTCTGCTTTACATTTATACCTAAAAAGGTTGATATTAACCCCATGTCTTTCATTTGAAATTCCCTGTTTAAACTAGTCTTAAGTTGCGAAATATCACGTTCATTTGTGCCAAAATACAATAATAATAATAATAATAATAATAAACACTTTATTGTACACCACTTACAAAAGACACGAACAAGAAAATAGTAGGTAGGTAAAAAAAAAAAAAAAATAGTTTTGGCATGTTGCACAATGGGCGGCCTTATCGCTTACAGCAATCTCTTCCAGGCAACCTTAGGATGGATAAATAACCGTGAGAGCAGATACCATGTGGGTAGTTCATAGTGTTGAATTAAATACAATGGATATGACAGAACAGTTTAGATACATACATACAATATGTACACACATACATACATGCCTACATACTCATATATACATATATATATACATACACATACATACACAAAATCAGATACATACATACATACATACGGATATGCGGTAGCAGTTACTCTATTGAATCTGTGTTAGATAATGATCTTTTACTTGTCTTTTAAACGAATCCAAAGATTGCGCCCGTCTTATTGATAATGGAAGTGCGTTCCACAGTCGAATGGCTCCTACAACAAAGGATTTGTCATAAAAGGCAGTCGTATGTGTTGGCATCTCCAATCTCAAATTCGCAGTAGACCTCAAGTGTCTTGAATGTGCGTCATGAAGGAACTTAAAACGTTCTTTGAGATAAGAGGGCGTAGCAGGATTGTACAGAATACTGTAAAGAAGTGACAGGATATGCGTATTCCGGCGAAGACGGATAGGAAGCCACTTGAGCCTGTTACGGAAATCCGAGACATGGTCATATTTGCGCAAGCCAAATATGAATCTTATACAGAAATTTTGGAGACGCTCAAGTTTGTCCAGTTGTGCCTCTGTTAGATCAAGGTAGCAGGCATCAGCGTAGTCCAAGATGGGAAGAAGGAGAGATTGAGCAAGCGCAGTTTTAGTGGCGATTGGTAAAAAATTGCGAAGTCTTCTTAAGGACGCCGCCGATGCAAAGATTTTGCGACTCAGTTCTTGAATCTGTGGAGCCCAGGACAAAGTGCTGTCAAAGAGAATACCCAGATTTTTGACAAATTTACTGTACGGGATGTAGTTCCATCCATCAAACGTGACCGGTGGAATATGCGTCCAGTTAATTCTAGCTATCTGTCTGGGGCTGCCGATAACAATGAGCTGAGTCTTTGCTGGATTCACTTTTAACCCGTAAGTCGAGCTCCAGTTGGATATTGAAGTCAGGTCGGCATTTATCATTTTGACTGCTTCCAAGAGTTCTTCGAGCGGTGCCTGCGCGTAAATCTGCAAATCATCTGCATAAAGGTGTAGGAAGATAGAAGTTGGTCAGAGATGGAATTAATAAAAGTTGCGAAAAGAAGAGGAGATAAGACGCCACCCTGCGGCACGCCAGCAGCAGTACTACGCCAAGTCGAGAAATTTGTGTCCACTCGGACACGCTGTCGACGGCCACACAGGTAACTCTGAAGCCAATCGTTTACCGCTGGAGATATGTTAAGGGAGCGCAGAATACCGAGAAGGACATCGAAATCGACAGTGTTGAATGCGTTACTGAAATCAAGTAGGGAGAGCACTGTCAGATTTCCATTCTCCATGCCGAGTCTTATGTCATCAGCAATATGTACAAGTGCTGTTGTAGTGCTATGGCCTCGACGAAAACCGGATTGGAATGGATTTAGGAGTTGATGACGGAGAAGGTAGGAGTTTAACTGGTTATGTACAAGACGTTCTAGGACCTTTGAGAGGAATGGTAGGATGGAGATAGGACGGTACTCTGAGTAGCATTTGGGATTAGGTTTTTTGGGCAGTGGCGTAATCTGTGCATCTTTCCACTGTGATGGAAAAACTGCGGAGGAAATGGAATAATTTAGGATGTGGGTGATGACGGGAGAATCTCGTCGAGTATAGGTAGCACCATTTTACGGCTAATGTTATCCGCACCTACAGCATTAGATGTAATTGATTCTACACTCTTCCTAACATCACAGACGGTAAAACGACTAAATACGAAAGGAGAGTTTTCAGGGGTTGGTAAAGAAGAAAGATGTTTTAGTGTGTTCCCTTTAACAGTAGAGTTTAAAGGAAGAAGAACATGAGAAATGCTGGTTTAGCGACTCAATATTTAAATTATTTGGAAAAGGTTCGTCATGATTTTTACCAACTCCCATTGACTTCAGAAATTTCCAAATCTTCGCTGGGTCCTCATCACTGACGGATTTATGAAAGTAGTGGCGTTGCGCCTCCCTACACATCCTACTACAGTGATTGCGAACGCCCACATATTTCGCTCGATTCTCTGCAC